AGAGTCGAATCCCACAGGGAATTAACCTATCAAACACAGCTACTAGACTCGCACGAACTCACGCAATCAATCTTCTGAAATATTTAAGTGACAATTTGTATGTTTACTAACTAAATATTACGTAATGAAAGTGCAACAATTAATAACAAACTACTACAGTTCGTAGACAAAAATTGGAATGATCTAAGGTTATGATTTCCCCTATTGTTGGAATCCTTTTCGCTACGTCTTCTATAAATTTGCCTAAGTCTTCTCTATCTATCATGAGCACTCTGACTGTTGTAACTCTCTCCTGAGTAATTACCATAATTTACTAGACAAAATCTCCCGAATTACGCTAGCTGGCATTAGTTACGTCTCACTCAGATTGCACTAAGGTTTCGTTATCCTTAATCCCACCTTTAAACCCTTCGTATTGATCCCTCATATACGTTAGGAGTGATGTTGTTCAACAACTACCTAAATATGTACTCTCCCCCGAGTAATACACACTAAATAAGCACAGACGATTGAGGGCCCTTCAATCAACAACAATAATAATATAGTTGAACAAATAGAGAAAATACTACGGCAAATCTATATTAACGTAACATGAAAATCATCCTCCAATAGGTTCCATCAAAACCCTAGATTAGAAGTTTAGCTACTCATACTCATAGTCACAATATTCAAACTATTTTGCATAATTAAATTACAAAGTAAGGATAAAGGGATGTAGAAATTGATGAGTCTAACTCCCAACGGTTGTTCCACAAGCTTTCCTTGCCTCCGGTTGCAAAAGTCCTCTATAGTGGCGTTTTAGGTCTATTTATATGTATAGGAAAAGACCTAAACGTGTAGGCCAAGTCCTAGTCAAACCAGGAGACAAAATAAGTCTTTAAAACTCGGAATGTGCACGCCCAGACCTGTCCTCGCGAGGCCTACCGCCAGCTTGAGCTCACCCCATGCCTGGCATTGCCAGCTCCAAAGCTTGGTGGACCTCTCGTTACCCTTCTCCTAGCAGACTCTAACGCGTGCTAAAGGCATGGCGTCGCCTGCTCTAATGCCCACTTTAGGCCTGGCTTCGCCAGCTTCCTTATTCGTAGGCTGCTCACTTCTTTCTTTTTTCTTCTCAGCTATTTTCGAGCACACTTTAGACTTTACGTATTCCTTTTGCTCTACTTTCATCTCCAATTCACCTACACATAAAATAAACTCTATTACGCACAATTAAAGTGTAGTTTATCATTAAAGCATATAAAATGCAAGGCAAATAATGTACGAAACTATGGAATTACAGCCACACATCAATACCCCATACTTGAACATTGCGCGTCCTCGCGCAATCAAACCACACTTACAGACAACCTCACTAAGGAATTCCCTTAACTCATTACAACAAGAATATTTAAAATAGTCTAAGTACCAAGGTGCAATATCCTCGCCTCAAGATTTGACTCACAAATACCATGACTTATTCACAATTCACTTACTTACTCTAACATGGAGGCCAACGACATTACCTTTCCTTTATGAATCACGTTCCCTCACCCAACAAAGAGCTCAGTTCCACACACAATGAATTTTAAGAATGTAGGAGCTCAAGATAGGAAAAATTCACTCGCTCTCAGAAATAACATTCATATGCCACAAATGATGCACCATAGGCTTGCCCGTAGTGTAATACTCTACTAATCGAGCTCATTCAGTCTAAGATCAAGTAGGACTTTGATTGGTTGTAATGTAGGCTGCGGGTCGGGTAGGATACAGTTGGATATAAGTGACTACACCTCCCTTAAGCACTTTAATACATACACTTTAACATTCAAGCCCATACTTATGTCAAACCAAAACTCCACCTTAACTTCACTTTATATTAGCCCCTACTTCTTTAAGCACCAGTTTATCACTAGCCACCACCATCAAGAATTATTTTTCTTACAATACAACTATTTATATATTTTTTTTCTTTTTTCTTAATCCAAGTGGCTTTTATTGACATTGTTTTTTTCAAACGATGCACCTTTCTCCTTATTTTGTTCCACTTAAAAGACAACCCACCACCCCACACTTTAACTTTTTCATTATTCATCACAATTCAAGTGCTCATGAGAGGTGACAAGGTTCAAATATATAGTCGATTCAAACAAAGGGGTACGACTTGTAATGTGGTTACCAATGAAACAGGATTATAGGCTCAAAGGGGTTAACTACGATACATAACTTTTAGGTGGGTAAACTATATATATCTAGCTTAACAAAGAAATGCTTATATCACTTCCTAGACTGAATAAGACTACTTTTTCGCTTTGCACACACACGAGGCAAGTTCTAGATATCAAATGTAATGCACAAAATACATACAAACTTTATACAGACATGGCACATAACTCACTCAGGATTGGTTTCATCGCGACACTCTAGTCTAAGCAGTTAAGCAAAATTAAGAATCTATGATTTAAGGTACATATACTAGAGTCAAAAATCGAGATTAAGCGTCACAACCATAGTACTAACTATTCTCAAGGCATAACAAAGCTAAGAGATATTGCTGTAATTAAATGCATAGGCCCATGGTTTCTACTCCCAAAAATTAAAACTAACTACACCTNCTTTTTTTATATTTTCTAACTAAAACAATTTCTTAAAACAAATAACTAAAATAATTATCTAACAAAAATGACACTTACTAAAACAACAAAAACAAGCAACTACAAGTAATATTTACAATTTCCCACCCCACATTTAGATCATGCATTGTCCTCAGTGCATGCACAAATTGACAAAACAAGAAAAATGAGTAGAGTGCAAGGAAACTCCCTGATCAAACTGCGTCATAATGCTTTGAGGCTCTCCACTCTTCATCCTGTGCTTCATCCTCCTCATCATCATCGACCTCATCATCTGACTGCTCCGGCTCGGCCTCAGACTACTCAGGTGTGTTGATATCCTCATCATCGGGGAGTCTGTAGCCATCACCTATCCCAACCAGTTGCTGGGCATGAGCATTGAGCGGGTACCGTTGCTCTAATAAGGTCCTCTCCTCAGATGTGGCCAGTCGACCCCCTATCATCAACTGCAAATCCATCATCCCATAGAGATGGGCCATAAAACTATCATCACGAGCATTGCGCTCGGCACCTGTCAAAGACGCCATGGCAGTCTCTTCTTTCAACCAGAGACTATTGATGTCCGTTTGTCGTAGGGGCTGATCGATGGTGTGGTCAAACTCTGGCTCCTCCGCAACCTCCTCGTGTCTTAAGAACTAAGTTAGAAAATTGGCAAATGGCATTCGATCGACCTTCTTACTCGTTCTGACTAAAGACATATGGTAGCGGATCAGATGACCCACATTCACCCTTTGACGCGTCATGAGAAAGTAGAGCACACAGGTCCTCTCACGGCTAATGAGCGTGTCATGATTGCACGGTAGGAGCCGTGCATTTACCAGTTCAAGCCACACTTGAGCCTTCACCCTCATCTTCTTCTTGGGGAACCTCTTGTGCCGATTTGTTTTCTTATCCCGGACCCATGCTTCTGTAGAATCGACACCACAAAGTGGGTGTCTCAGCTCTCTATATGTAGGCCGGCGAATGAAGTGGTCCAATGGCTCCACAGGAACATCCGGAGCACCTAAAAAGTTACATATGGTCGTGGCTGAAAAATTTATCAATCGTCCATGAATCGGCACCAGCTGTTCAGTATCCTGTGGATCAAACCCTGCATTGAATTCCCGAACTAGATTGAGATTAATATCCCCTGTGTTCTTGAATACATAGCTCAACCCCAAATCTTGGATGCCCCTCCAAATTGCCTGATACTTTGCTTTTAAGGTGCATTCATGGATAGCTGCTTCCGGGTGTACATGTTTAGGCCTACAACGCCTGTACCAATCCTTAGTATGCGGAGGTATGCTATTGATGCCAAACTCCCGTTGGCCTTGGGGTTGTGGATGCATGGCTGCTACAGCTGCCACAACTTATGCTCCACTTAGATTGGAGGTAGCTTCCCCCCCTTTCTCTTCTTTGGGGGGGGGGGGTGCGGAGGTTGCCTTTTCTTTAGACGGAGCAGTGGAAGTAGCCTTTCCTTTGCCGGTGTCTTTTCTCGGAAGCATATTCGTTCCTACACAAGTAATCATTAATCAGTTAAAACTGCATTACAATATGACACACATGATCTTGCCCAAATTCCCGAGGTTACTCAGACTTCACCTCGTATTTCTTAACATGAGAGTCAAACAACAGCACATGTGTGCTTCCTCTGATTTTGAAGCATCGGCTACCAGTGAGGCACCCCACACTTAAGATCTTAACGTGGTACGAGACTACATAATACTAGTCTATTAATCCCGGAGACTCGGGCTCCAATGGGGACCAAGGAATGCCATTGAAGCATTATACCAAATACTTAGCATGCACTAGTGCCATGGGAGTGCTTGTAGAGGTGAGGGATTGCCTCACCCTCCCAAATCGGCTTGGGAGTTTCTTACTACCACTTGTTTACACAATAACAACACTATTTCTATGGGGTTCTTGGGGTGAGGACACAGAAACACAATATTACAATGAAGAACAACCCCAAATTTTGTGGCTAATTTCATACCTTCATCCAACTCGAAATTGAGAAAAAAAAGAGATAAAAATCATACCTTAGATGTTGTAAGATGTGGGCTTTGCCTTTGAACTGCTGTTTCGTGTGAATGGAAGAGGAAAAACTTGCTTGAATTCAATGGGGTTGGGATGGGGATGGATGGCAGTGTATGTGCCTGAGTGTTTTGTGAGGAGTGTAGTGATTTAGGTTAGGGTTTTATTTTATGTTAGTTTAGGCATTTAAGTTAGAGTCCAAGAAGGGAGGGGTTAAAAGAAATAAGGGACAAAATTTAAAATAAGCTGAAGAAAAATACTTACCTGGCGACGCCTGCCTAAGTACTTGGCCTCAATCCATGCGGCGCCAGGCTTAGCGCCCAGTGTACTTGGACTTACCCCAGGCGAGGCGAGCTCCATCGCCAGCTATACCTTACCTCAACCCTCGCGAGGCGAGCTCCCCCGCCTGGTTTCCTTCATGTGACGCTGAAAACTCTGCTCGACTTGCCAAAAATCACCTGCAAACTTGTTAGTACCTAAAAACGAAAAGAAAAATTTGAACTACACTAAAACTCAACTATGAATTGGGTTGCCTCCCAACGAGCGCCTTAGTTAACATCGTGGCATGACGGATACAATAGTACAATGGGTTGCCTCCCATGAAGCGCCTGATTTAACGTCGCAGCATGACGCCGGTGAGCGCATTTAAGGCTCGCTCAACATTGATGGCGCGAGCAATTAAGTCACCGACACTACTTTCGCGTCATCCATGCCCAAATAATGTTTTAACCTGTGCCATTGAACGTGCGAGAGTCATTTTTCGCAGCAACCTCTACGGCACCAATGGGGTGAATCTCTACCACACGAAATGGTCCTGACCATCTTGACTTTAATTTTCCCGGAAATAACCTCAATCTTGAATTGTATAGCAATACCATATCTTCGGGTTTAAAACTTCGCTCAAGGATTTTTTTTGTCATGCATCATCTTCATTCTCTCCTTGTATAGTCTTGTGCTCTCAAAAGCATGGTAGCGAAACTCATCAAGCTCGTGTAACTCTGTGACTCTACTTGTACCCGTAGCTTCTACATCAAGATTAAGCTGTCTCAATGCCCACAAAGCTCTATGCTCCAACTCCACTGGTAAGTGACACGCCTTCCCAAATACCAATTTATATGGCGACATGCCAATTGGAGTTTTGAAAGTGGTACGATAGGCCCAGAGTGCATCATCTAACTTTCTTGACCAATCTGTTCTTGTAGCATTCATAGTCTTTGTCAAAATGCTCTTTATCTCTCTGTTCGAGACTTTCACTTGCCCACTCGTTTGTGGATGATATGGGGTGGCAACCTTGTGGAGTACATCATACATTTCTAACAACTTTGCGAAGGCTCGATTATAGAAGTGAGTGCCTCCATCACTGATTATTGCCCTTGGAGTGCCAAATCGGGTGAATATATTCTTTCTCAAAAAAACCAATTACCCCATTTGCATCATTTGTAGGGAGCACTGCAGCCTCCACCCATTTTGACACGTAGTCCACAGCTACGAGTATGTACTTGTTGTCGTATGTGCTGACGAAAAGCCCCATGAAATCGATTCCCCATACATCAAACACTTCTACCTCCTGAATTGGGTTCATAGGCATCTTATGTCGGAGGGAAATATTCCCAGTTCATTGGCATTCGTCACAACCATTCACCTATAAGTGTGCATCTTTGAACAATGTCGGCCAGTAGAAGCCCGACTCCAGCACTTTCGCAGCTGTGCTTACTCCCCCGAAATGGCCACCATATGGTGACACGTGACAAGCCTACAAAATAGAAGATTGGTATATCTCAGGGATACATCTCCGGATCATGTTATCAACACAAATCCTGAACAGATAAGGCTCATCCCAATAATACATGCGACAGTCACGAAAGAACTCTTTCTTTTGAACAGAGGAAAGGTCATAGGGAACAATACCGCTTGACAGGTAGTTTGCAATGTCTGCATACCATGGCGCTACCTCAAGACTCGTGGCTAGTAGTTGTTCATCCGGGAAAGTCTCCACAATCTCTTCCCCCTCAACCTTCTTTTCGGCTCCTTCCAGCCTCGACAAGTGATCAGCCAGTTGGTTCTCTGTTCCCTTTCGGTCACGGATTTCCATGTCAAATTCTTGCAGCAGTAGCACCCATTGAATCAGGCACAACTTTGACTCCTTCTTATAATTAGGTACCTGAGAGCAGCATGGTCAGTATAAACAATTACCTTCGAGCCTATCAGGTATGACCTGAATTTGTCAAATGCGAACACCACTGCTAGCATCTCCTTCTCGGACACTGTGTAATTTAGTTGGGCACTACTCAATGTTCTACTTGCATAATATATTGGATGCATGACTTTGTCTTTGCTCTGCCCAAGCACTACTCCCACATCATAGTCACTTGCGTCACACATCAGCTCAAATAGTTGCTCCTAGTCAGGTGCAACCATGATAGGTGTTATCACCAGCCTCTTCTTTAGTTCCTCAAAAGCTACCCTGCAGTCATCAGAAAACACAAAAGGGTAATCTTTTTCAAGCAATTTACACAAGGGGTTAGCAATTTTGGAAAAATCTTTTATAAATCGTCTATAGAACCCGGCGTAGCCAAGGAAACTTCTTATTGCTTTGACGGAAGTGGGTGGTAGAAGATTTTCGATCACATCAACCTTTTCACGATTTATCTCAATGCTCTTACTCGACAATAGGTTCCCCAAGACTATACATTCTTGTACCATAAAATGACACTTTTCCCAATTGAGTACCAGATTACTCTCGACACATCTTTTCATCACTCTTTTCAAATTCCTTAGGCAATCATCGAATGAGTCTCCCACCATCGAGAAATCATCCATAAAGATCTCCATGATGTCCTCTACCATATCAGTGAAGATGGCCATCATGCACCTTTGAAATGTGGCGGGTGCATAGCATAGGCCGAACGGCATCCTCCCGAAGGCATAAAATCCATATGGACAGGTGAATGATGTTTTCTCTCTATCTTCCGGGGCAATGGAGAATTGATTATACCCTAATTATCCATCCAGAAAGCAAAAGTGGGACTTCCCATCCAATCTATCTATCATTTGATCAATGAACGGGAAGGGAAAGTGGTCTTTTCGGGTGGCCTTATTCAATCTTCTGTAGTCCATACAAATTCACCATCCCGTGACTGTCTTGTTAATATCAACTCATTGTTCTCATTTTGCACTACAGTCATCCCACCTTTCTTAAACACACATTGGACTGGGTTGATCCAGTTACTGTCGGAGATGGGGAAAATGATTCGCGCATCTAACCACTTTATCACTTCCTTTTTCACAGCTTCCTTCATGTTGGTGTTCAACTATCTTTGATGTTCTCTGGAAGGTTTGTGGCAATCTTCCAGTAGAACCTTATGCATATAGAAGATCGGGCTGATCCCCTTAATGTCTGCAATGATCCAACCAATTGCAGTTTTCCACTCACTCAATACCTGCAAAAGTTGTTCTTTCTGCACATCTAACAAACCAGATGAGATAATAATAGGAAAAGTTGAGTTAGGTCCCAAGAAAGCATACCTAAGGTGAGGTGGTAGCGGTTTCAATTCCAACTTTTGGTGGCTCTTCTATCGATGGCTTAGCTGGAGGAATTTTTCTTTCTTCTAAGTGCAAAGGCTCAAATTCGAGCTCTCTTTTTCAAAACCCTTGGCCTTCAAGAGCCAGTACCCACTCCGCTAAGTCCTCTCCATTTACTTCATCTAAGTTCAAGAGACAAGCTGCAAGAGGGTCTTTAGCGTTCATGGTCTCATCTTCCTCCTCCAAAATTACATCCACGACTTCTATTAGAAAGCAGTTAGCAAATTCACTTGGTCGCCGCATAGATTTCTGCATGTTGAATGTTATCTCTTCATCATTTAGTCTCATTTTGAGCTCTCCAGTTTCAAAGTCAATTAAAGCTCTCCCAGTGGCCATGAATGGTCTTCCCAAAATTATGGGAATCTCCTCGTCAATCCGCCAGTCTAGAATGACAAAATCTGTTGGGAACACAAACTTCCTAACCTGGACTAATACATTATCAAGGATACTAGAGGGCCTCTTCACTTTCCGGTCGGCTAGCTGTAGTAACATGGACGTGGGTCTAACTCTTCCTATTCCTAACCTTTTATAGATAGCCAAGGGCATCAAATTTATGCTTGACCCTAAATCACACAATGCTTTAGCAAAAGCATAGCTTCCTATCGTGCATGGGATTATGAAACTCCCTGGGTCTGATAACTTCTCAGCTATGGGTCTCGTTACGACTGTACTACAGGTCTGTGCCAATGTAATAGTGGACAGGTCTTGGAAGTCAAATTTCTGAGACATTAAATCTTTTATCATTTTGGCATACCCAGGCATCTCTTGCAACGCATCAATTAGTGGAATGTTCACCTGTATTTGTTTCAACATCTCCATGAATTTCTTATATTGCTCGTCCTTATGATATTCTGCCAATCTCTGTGGGAATGGTGCTGGAGGTCGCTTCTTTCCTATGATTTGAGTTTTATCTTTCTCAGGAACTGCTTCTACTGTCGTTTCTTGTGCTACCCCAATCTCCTTTGCAACCTCTTTTTCTTTGCTTGTGCTCTCTTATGCATGTTGTACTGTCACCTCAGTTAACCCTGTTGAATCATCGATCTCAATGGGTACTGGCACAAGTGTTTCAGTAGGTCGGCTTTTGCGAGCAATCTCTTGCTCCAGATCTAGGCCTCTACCATTTCGTAGACTCGCTTCCATAAGCTGCTTCGGGCCCTGATCTTTTGGATTGATTTGTGTGTCTGCAAGTAATGTCCCTTGGGGAGGATTGTTTAGAGCCATAGAAATCTGTCCTAATTGAACCTCAATACCCTTTATCGCTGATTCATGTGAGTTCACTCTATCTTGAATTTTTCCGGTGGACCCAATCAGTTGTTGCAGCATTCTGTTGTTACTGTCCAGCATTACCTCAAGTTTAGAAAACCCATCATCTTGTCTCACAATCTGTTGTTGTTGTTGAGGATATTGATAAGCCAGCTGCTGATTTTGCTGGTTGTAACCCTATTGCCTTTGGTAAGGCACCACTTGACCTTGTGGTCGCATAGCTCCAGGATTGTTGTTGTTATTGTACTACTGTTGTGCTGGTCTATATTGTTGATTCTGTTGACCCCAATTCTGACCACCTTGCCTCTGTCCCCTATAGTTGACTACATAGTTCATATCTTCCTGATAGTGGTGGTTGTCACCTTCCGCACTCCATGAGCATACATAAGGTTGGTTAATGCATGGTGTACATAAGCCCCCATTAGTTGCGTCAACTATGTGTACGTGCTACTTCTGACCTGATTCATCGATCTTTTTGGTGAGGATACTCATTTGCGTCATTAGAGTAGCCATATTTTCGGCTATAGAGTTGTTTGGGTCCAAATCCACAGAGTGAACTGCAGGAGTAATCGTAGAGTCTCATGTCATCCATCCTGAGTTTTGAGCCATTTTATCAAGTAGGATCTTGCATTCTCTGAATGATTTGCTCAAAAATGCTCCACCCGCTGAAGCATCAACATTAGCCTTTAAACTGTCTGCCAATCCCATGTAGAACCTCTGCCCCAACATTTGCTCTGGAATGCCATGATGTGGACACTTAACAAGCATACCCTTGAACCTCTCCCACGTTTCTTGTAGCGTTTCTGTTGGTCTCTGCCTGAAGCTCAATATCTCAACAATTTGTTTGGCAGTCTTATTGGGTGGGTAAAACTTGTTTACAAATTGATTGACTAATTCCTCCCACATAGTGATGGAGTTTATAGGGAGTGAATTAAGCCAAGTCTGAGCTTCTTCCGTCACCGAGAATCGAAACAATAACAGCTTTATTGCGTTTGGTGTCACATTTAGTTGCCTTTGTGCGACACATATCGACAGAAAATTTTTCAGATGCTGTTGAGAATCTTCAATGTAAGACCCTGAAAACAGTCCCTTGTTCTGCAACAAATGTAGCATGTTGTTTGTGATTTAAAATGATTTCGCTTATATTTGAGGGACTGCAATTGCGATCGCCAGATTTTCGGCGGTGGGTTGTGCCCAATCATACAAGGCTGCTTCTGGCACAAGAGGCGCCACACCCTGATTGTTCGGGTCATTATTTCTGTTATTTGGATTTTCTATTACGTCATCCATGTCTAGTTCGATTCGTTCTGTTGAGTTCTGTTGCTTTCTGTTCTTCTTGTTTGCACGATTTAATGAATTGAAAACTTTCTCAGGATCTGATAATGCTTCGAGAAATTCACTAGCTCTCGAGAAGTGCCTAGGCATGCACCTGTAACACCCAAGACTACAAACATTAAAATTTCAATGTATTTGATTTAAAAAATGAAGAAAATTGACTACACTAAGAATTCTAGCAATTCTTTTAGTTGCAATTAATATACCGTTAACTCCCCAGCAACGGCGCCAAAATTTGATCATGCCCAACTATGCCTTATAAAAAGGACTAAGCGGTCGTTACAAATATATTCCGGCTAATAAGTCTGGAGTCGAATCCCACAGGGAATTAACCTATCAAACACAACTACTAGACTCGCACGAACTCACGCAATCAATCTTCAGAAATATTTAAGTGACAGTTGGATGTTCACTAACTAAATATTACGTAATGAAAGTGCAACAATTAATAACTAACTAGTATAATTTGTAGACAAGAATTGGAATGATCTAAGGTTATGATTTCCCCTATTGTCGGAATCCTTTTCGCTACGTCTTCTATAAATTTGCCTAAGTCTTCTCTATCGATCATGAGCACTCTGACTGTCGTAACTCTCTCCCAAGTAATTACCACAATTTACTAGATATATTCTCCCGAATTACGCTAGCTGGCATTAATTACGGCTCACTCGGATTGCACCAAGATTTCGTTATCTCTAATCCTACGTTTAAACCATTTGTATTGATCCCTCATATATGTTAGGAGTGATGTTGTTCAACAACTACCTAAATATGCACTCTCTCCCGAGTAATATACACTAAATAGGCACAGTCGATTGAGGGCCCTTCAATCAACAACAATAATAATATAGTTGAACAAATAGAGAAAATACTACGGCAAATTTATATTAACGTAACAAGAAAATCATCCTCCAATAGGTTCGATCAAAACCCTAGATTAGAAGTTTAGCTACTCATACTCATAGTCACAATATCCAAAGTATTTTGCATAATTAAATTACAAAGTAAAGATAAAGGGATGTAGAAATCGATGAGTTTAACTCCCAACGATTGTTCCACGAGCTATCCTTGCCTCTGGTTGCAAAAGTCCTCAAAAGTGGCATTTTTAGGTCTATTTATATGTGTAGGAAAAGACCTAAACGTGTAGGCGAAGTCCTAGTCAAACCAGGAGATGAAATAAGTCTTTAAAACTCGGAATGTGCACGCCCAGACCTGGCCTCGCGAGGTCTACCGCCAGCTTGAGCTCGCCCCAGGCCTGGCGTCGCCATCTCCAAAGCCTGGTGGACCTCGCGTTACCCTTCGCCTGGCCTGCTCCAATGCGTGCTATAGGCCTGGCGTCGCCTGCTCTAACGCCCACTTTAGGCCTGGCTTCACCAGCTTCCTCGTTCGTAGGCTGCTCATTTCTTTCTTTCTTCTTTTCAGCCGTTTTCGTGTACACTTTAGACTTTAAGTATTTCTTTTGCTCTACTTTCATCTCCAATTCACCGACACATAAAATAAACTCTGTTACGCACAATTAAAGTGTAGTTTATCATTAAAGCATATAAAATGCAAGGTAAATAATGTACGAAACTATGGAATTATAGTCACACATCAACTGACCTCTCTGTCTAAATAAGATTTATGATTTTAAAAATAATAAAATAAATATTTAAGTTGGTAGTTCACCGTTGACTTGCCTAGCGACGACGTTGGACGTCATCACGACATATAATAAATTTTGGTTGGTGATTCAAAACCACCAATCAATCACAACTTGAGCTATCGTTTGGCTAATGCACACATTCTCTTCTTGTTACATTCATTTTCCACTTCTTGAGTTCTTTCCACTCCAGCCTCACACTAATATTTGTTCTTTGTTGAACACTATAAGTTTCTAAAAAACTAATTTATCAGAAAGCAAAACAGAAATTTAAGAAAAGAAAAATAAGTTTAAACGTTCCACGAATTATCACATTCTTTATCTGTATTTCTATTTTTTTTCAAATTCTATTTGAATTTAATGCGGCATCTTCGTCAGCAGCGTTGTTTCTAAGTCTCATTAATACTGCCACTCCATTTCATTTTCAAAAATCACTATAACTAACTTTAGTTGGTACATAAAATAACACGTGTTAAA